AACAAAGTCATCATAGTAGAAAGTCCAGGGAGTCCTCATTTTGTAACTGCAATTGGTTACAAAGAGACAGACAGACAGACAGACAGACAGACAGGCAGACAGGCAGACAGCTGGTTGCTGCTGTTTCATTCAGATAAAAGTCAGATAAAATGGGTCCTATGCCTGACCCATTTTTTTCCCCACCTCCTCAAGAGATTGCTTAACAAGCTCTCTCTTCCTGGGCTGCTTTTCTCCACAGCACAGAACTTCCCTAAAAAGTACTAGCTTCAATTTAAGAAACACATATCTGTGACCTTAATTAATTTATTAGAATGCTGGGTCAGCCACAGCTGCTGCATGAAACTGATCAGGCCTTAGTCAGTGTCACACAATTGTGTTATTAAAGACTTGTGTTATTGAAAATGTATGCATTGGTCAAAAAATTAATTTTATTATCATTTATTACTGTTGTATTTGCAAACATCACTATCTGAGTCAGTTGCTAAATGAGGATTATCTATACTGAATTTTATCTGAGCTTGGAAAAGAATCACATTATAAACATCTGTTCTTTTATAGAATAATACTTAAATTTACAGTTATTTCCTGTAAGTATCTTAACATTTTAATGACTACATGAATGCAAGAAAGCTTCTAAATGGCACTGAAGTGTACTTTCAAAAGTTAGGAAAATATTAGGGTAGGGATTTCTTTGTTTGTTTTTATCTGTTTTATATTTATAATATTGTCTTGACCAACTTTTGATATCACTCTGTTAACTCCATCCCAAAACTTCTCTGTGTGTAGAAGGATGCATGAAAAAGACAAATATAGTGCATTTCTATCTCCATGATTGAAAAATTGTTGCACAGATAACTAGGAGTTTACAAATTTGTGTTGACACTTCTTTTGTACATTCTATTCATTGTATAACATTCAGGTAGAGGACATAGAATGTTCTATCTTCCTCCATGGTTATACAAATGACACTAATATGAAAATAGCAACTCTGCTACTATATTTAACAATTGATATATTGTTTAAATGTATTGCCATTTTGGGCTTGGATTTTTCAGCAATTGTAGACAATTTTCTAACTGTTGGTTTTCAGGTAGTGTTAATAAATTGGCTCTTTCAATGAATGCTATTATTATGTCTACAGGTAGTTCTTGACTTATAACCATAACTGGGACTGGAATTTTCACTGCTAAGTGATGTGGTCATTAAATGAGTCATGCCCATCTTTAAGATCTTTTTCCCCCATAGTTGTTAAGCAAATTTGATTTCCCCCATTGACTTTTCTTGTTGGAAGTTCCCTACAAAGGTTGTTAATTATGATCATTTAATGATGATCATGTTAATGGTGAACTCTGGGACTCTGCAATGTTTGTAAATGCCTGGTGGTTGCCAATCATTTGAATTGTGATCAGTGACAATTGTGAGGGTGAGGGTTGACTTATTTTCCAAAGCTCCTGAGGGTTGAACAAGAAGGAACAGGTGGAAACTCATGAAAGAGACATCCAAGGAGAAACTTCCTGATAGCGAGAACAGAATAATAGAGTTGGAAGGGATCTTGGAGGTCTTCTTAGTCTACCTTCCTGCTCTGGCAGGAAATCCTGTACCATTTCAGTCAAATGGTTGTCCAATCTCTTCCAGACCAAGCCAAGTCCAAAAATGCCAGGGAATTTCAAGATGCCTGGAACGCTGACAAATCAACCATTAAAGACCCATAGACATTAACAACATCTATATGCAAAAGAGACTATCACCCAGCCCAAAAATGAACAAAAAGACCCAAGCACCTTTCCACTAGCAATCACTACCCAGATCAGTATAGATTAACTCCAAGGTTAACATCAGACCAACAATCAAATAAACAATACTCCAGTTAAGAAACTGCCAAAGAAGCCAACAGCAAACAGCCCAACCAAAGGATATCTAAGACCACCTCCACCAACACAGACAGGCAATCCACTAGAATATAAATTGACAGCAAACTTCCCTCCTTATTAGTACTGATAATGTTACCTAGTTTGGGTAATGAAACATCTGCAAAAAAACATGCAAGCTCAGAGAGTACCAAGGACCCCTAATCTCTTCTTAAAAATTTCCAGTGTTGGGGTATTCACAATTTCTGGAGGCAAGTTGTTCCACTGATTAATTGTTCTGACTGTCAGGAAAGTTCTCCTTAGTTCTAGGTTGCTTCTCTCCTTGATTAGTTTCCATCCATTGCTTCTTGTCCTGCCTTCTAGTGCTTTGGAGAATAGGTTGTCCCCCTCTTCTTTGTGGCAGTCCCTCAAATATTGGAACAAAGCTGGCATATTATTCCTGTCCTTATTTTCATTAGAAGGAACCCTCTTTTTTTTTTATTAATTAATAACCCTGCTACCGCCCCAAATTCTTCAATTGTCTCTAATAAATATAAACAGGATTCTATGGGCTTTTCCAAAATAAAAACCATATCATCAGCAAAGGCCTGGGTTTTATATACCTGTTGTCCAATTCTAAGGCCTTTAATTTTTTCTTCATTCCTTATTTTACGTAATAGAGTTTCTAATGATAAAATAAAAAGTAAGGGAGATAGGGGACATCCCTGTCTTGTGCCTTTACCAATAGGAAATTCTTCCATCAAGTCCCCATTTATCAATAATCTGGCCATTTGTCTAGAATAGATGGCTTTAATCGCATTTATAAACCTCTGCCCAAAGCCCATATATTCCAAATGCACTATTATAAAATCCCAATTAACTCTATCAAATGCCTTCATGGCATCTATAAAAACTAATGGAACCTGTTTGCCTGGGTGTTCTTCATAGTATTCCAGTGTATTTAACATAAATCTCATTTTATCCCGTAATTGTCGTGATGGTAGGAATCCATTTTGGTCCATATGTATGAATTCATTCAAAAACCCTTTTAATCTATTTGCCAAAATTGTAGTAAAAATTTTATAATCTGAATTCAGAAGGGAAATTGGTCTGTAGTTTTTTATATCTGATGGGGGGGGACCCTCTTTTTTGTTCTGCAAACCAAAGTCTAAATATTAGAGAAAAACAAGGCAGGAATCTCCTTTCCCAATGTCTTTTTTTTTTTTTTCAAAAAAGTGTTTTATTTTTATTTCTCATAAACACATTTACATGTACAGTCATTTCCATCATTTTTCATTCATCTTTTCTTTTAACTTTCATTTTTAATTTTTACTTTTTCGGGGCTGCTCTTTTACCCTTTAGTTTTACTCCAACCTTTCTTCTTCTCCTCCCCTTCTCTTCCTTCCTGTTTTTCCTCCTACTTCCTTTGTTCTTCCTCTCCTTCTCTTTCATACTTCCCTTTCTCTTCCCCCACTCCTCTCTTCTTCCCCCTTCTAACCTTCTCCTCTGCTCCTCTTTCTCCTCCCTTTTCTTTGTCTCCTTTTCCCTTTCTTTTTTCTCCTCTCCTCTCCTCTCCTCTCCTCTCCTCTCTTCTCCCTTCCTCTCTCTCTACTCCTTCCACTCTCTCCTGTTGTTCCCCTTTTCAGTTCAATCTAAAGTGATATTCGAGCAGCCCCGATTTTCTAATTATCTTTATTCTCATTTCAATTTCTTTTTCAATTATTATTTATTTTTGTTTCATTATTTGCATACATTTTTATAATATCTCACTTTTTTTCCTTTTATCCCCCCTTCCCCTTTCTCCTTTTACTTGACATCATCTTGGTATCTATTTTTCTAATTGTTTTCTCCCATCTATTCTCTATCTATTTTATCTCTATATCCTTATTCATATTTCCTTTCTAACCAATCATAAAATTTATCTCATGTCTTGAAATACGTCGACTCCTCTTTATTTTTTATTCTTAATGTTAATCTATTCATTTCTGCACATTCTAAAATTTTCTTTATAATTTCTCCTTCCAATGGGATTTTATCTGCTTTCCAGTTTTGTGCAAATACAATTCTAGCCGCTGTTATTATATGAATAATCAAATATGTATCTTCCTTACTATAATTCTCTGGTAAAATTCCCAATAAGAATATCTCTGGTTTTAACTCTGTATGTTGCTGCAACATTCCCTCTAACCATGTTGTATTTTCACCCAGTATTGTTTTACTTCTTTACACAACCACCACATATGATAGTAGGATCCTGGCAACTGGTGACATTTCCAACACTTAGCTGGTTTATCTTTAAACATCTTAGCTAATCTTTCTGGTGGTATATGCCATCTATAAAACATCTTATACAAGTTTTCTTTATAGGCTGTTGCCATTGTTAATTTATAGTTTCTTTCCCAAAGTTGTTGCCATTTCTCCAATTCTATGGTGTATCCAAAATTCTTTGCCCATGCTATCATTGTTTCTTTTACTTCTTCGTCCTCTAGTCTAATACACAATAAATAATTATATAATTTCTTAATCATTTTCTCATCTGTTCCTGTCAATATTTCATCCAGTTCTGATTTCCCCGTTAAAGCCATATTGTCTACGATCTGCTTCATATCTTGACTGTATTTGCAGTCTTGTATACCAATCTATCTCAAACCCTTGACTCTCTAGTTCTTGTTTTTGTTTCAGTCGTCCCCGATCTGTCAAAATGTCTTTATATCTAACAATATTCCCCATGTTCACAATATTTGGGTATGTCATAAGGCAGGAATCTCCTTTCCCAATCTCTTAAGATCAAAGATTGCATTCCATTTCTTCTGCCAGCCAAACTATGTTTTCCAATACCAAACTGAGTTTTCCCAAGCTAAATCTTAAATCTAAAATGGGAACTGACCCAAGACAAAAGTTCCTGGGACAAAACAAAAAATCAACGTGGCAACAGAAAGGGAATCAGTTGAGAAGTAGACCAACAGCTTCCCCAATGAGTCCAGCTCAGGAAACTAGCCCAGCAGAGCTTCTATAGGATGACACTGTCTACCCCAAAGAGCTATGCCTTCAGATGAAAATATGAGGAACAGGCATCCTTAGTGATTAATTTGGTAGCTTCTTAGAGACATTTGCCTGGCATTGGTGTATGTAGAAAAGGTGGAGCAGGTGGCCTTTGATAGGAGGATAAAGGAAGATGGTCATCTCCTTGGAAACTCTGATGGCTTTATGACTTCAGTTTAGCCTGCAGGCTAAAGTGTCAGTTACTGTCAGTTATCAGTTATCAGAGTGAAGATGCCTCCCAAGAGGCAGGCTGGTCTTCAGAAGGGCTCCTGGACTCTGGGAAACCTTCCCTTTTTTTTTTTTTTTTGTAACCAGTTATCAGAGGGGTAAGTGAGAATGAGAGTTTGGTTGGGATTAGAATTAGGGTGAGGATGAAAGTTAGGATGAGGGTGAGGTTGAAGATCAGGATAAGAAGGAGAGTCAGGGAAATGGAGAGAGGCAAAGGGATGGAACAGAGGAGGGAGGGAAGGGGAAGAAAAAAGGGGAACAAAAGACAGAGGAAAGATTAGGAATAGAAGGAAAAGAGGAAAGAAAAGGGAGGTGGAGAGGGCGGGAGGTGGGAAAGGGAAAAGTGAGGGAGAAAGGGAGAAAGAGGAAGAGATAGATTATGAGGGGGTTAGAGGGAGGAGAAGGAGAGGAAGGGAGGGTGGAGGGAGGGGAAAGGGGAAGGGGTCAGGGAGGGAAAGGGGAGAGAGAACAAGTGGCAGAGGGATGGGAAAGGGCAGGGGAATGGAGATGGGAAGAAGAGGGGGGAGGGGAAGAGGAAGGGGAGAGGGGAAGGGGGAACAAAGAGGGAGAAAGGGGAAGAGGTAGGGGAAGGGCAGTAGAGATCAGAGAGAGAGGGAGAGGGTGGAAAGGGACAGGAAGAATGGGAAAGGGAGAGGAAAGGAGGTGGAGGGAGATAGGGAAGAAATGGAAGAAAGGGAGGGAGGGAAAGGGGAGGAGGAGGAGGGGAAAGGAGAGAGTAAAGGAGTTGGGGAGGGGGACATGGGAAGGGAGAAGGGGTAGGGGGATGGGGATGGGGATGGGGAGAGTGAGGGAGTGGGAACTGGAGAGAAGGTAAGAGAGGGGGATAAAGAAGGGGAGGAATCTTGGGAGTCGGGGAGAAGGGGGAGGAAAGGGGGAGGAAAGGGGGAGATGGGAGGGGGACTGAAGGAAGAAAAGAGGAGGGGAAAGAGAGAAAGGGGAGGGGAGGGGAGAGGGAAGTGAAGGAGACAGGGAGGGGAGGGGAAGAGTGACAGAAACAGAAATTGGAAAGGTGGGAAGGGAGAAGAGAAGTTGGAGAGTGAAGGAATGGAGTGGGAGGGGAGTGGAGTGGAGAAAGATAGGGAGAGATGGACCATGAGTGGGTTGGGGACTTACTTAGAAGATTAACTTCCTTATAATTGGATGTACTGCAGAAATGCACAGTGAACACTGCAGTAGAATAAGGGTGCTGTATGAATTCAGATGTTGACTCTGAATTCTAGATTTCTAAAACATCAGGGAATCCTGGTTTTCCAATCCTAGTCAACCCTTTCGACCACTGGATCACACCAGTATTTACTGGTTATATGGGATTAAGTGAAACTGCCAGAGTTGCTGGGAGTTGGATGGCATACAATTTTAATATATTCTGGTTGTTTGCACAATCAGCCAGATATTATTAATATACAGAAGAATCTTTCTGTTTTGGTAATGCTTGCTTCTCCCGTTCTTTTCCCCTTCCACTTGTTTTTTTCCAAAAGAAAATGTTGCCTGAAAATCATTACTATTTTAAAATCCTTTAAAGTATTCTACCTCCCTCTCTCTCTCCCTCTATCCCCCACCCTAATGTTTTGGTATGCAATATTTCCCTTTTGATTAAGTGGAATGTGCAGAATAACAGAACAGAATAACAGAGTTGGAAGAGACATTCAGGGTCTTCTAATTCAACACCCTGCTTGGGCAGGAAACCCTACACCACTTGAGACAAATGGTTGTCCAATATCTTCTTAAAACTTCCAGTGTTGGAGTATTCACAATTTCTGGAGGCAAGTTGTTCCACTGATTAATTGTTCTGACTGTCAGGAAATTTCTCCTCAATTCTAGGTTGCTTCTTTCCTTGATTAGTTTCCATCCATTGCTTCTTGTTCTGCCTTCAGGTGCTTTGGAGAATACAGTAGGTTGACTCCCTCTTCTTTGTGGGAGCCCCTGAGATATTGGAATGCTGGTATCATGCCACCCTTAGTCCACTAGTTCAACAATTAACTAATAGAACAGGTTGCCTCCTAGGGTTGTGGGTGCCCCATTGTTGGAAGTTTTCAAGAAAAGATTGGGCAACCATTTGTTTGGGATTGTATAAGGCCTCCTGTCTTAGGTAGGGAGTTGGAGTAGAAGACCTCCAAGGTCCCTTCCAGCCATATGATTCTAAGCAAAGGAATGACAATAAAAATGTGAACACCTAGGAGAGTAGGAAACTTTTAAAAGCAATTCAACTATTCCTAGATAAAAGATCCAAAGGCAAGATTTGAATCTAAGTGACAGCCCAGAAACCTATTGTCTTAAAACGAACTCCAGAGCCTTAGAATTGCAGTACATTATCAGATTAATGTTTTCTAAAATGGAAAGACAATACAAATGAATTTAACTTTTGAGACTGCATCAGTGTTACTGAGAATCATTCTAATTCAAATACACATATGCTATTGGTGCTATAAACAGAGGCTTTCCTAGTAATCTTATGAGCAACAAAACAGTTTTTGGTGATGTTTCTGTTAGATCAGCCATTAAATCTGTTATTACCACACAGCCTCTTTTGCCAGGCCAGTAATACTGCATTTAATGATCTTCAGAAGTCCAGAAGGTATATCAACAAACTAATCACTACTTAGGAAAAATATCTCTAGCATCTGCTTTTGTTGCCAAGAAGTCCCTTGGTATGTGCATATCCTCAGCCGAAATGATTGCTTTGGACATGATGGTTCCCAAACAATCATGTTTCTGCAGCTGGAGAAACAGAGAAGCCAAGAATCACCTTTCATCTGCCAAGCTGCAGGAGAACAAGCTGATTGGCAATCCATTGAATAAATCAAACTCTGAGAATTGGAAATAGTTTTCTAAAACCAGATAGATAATACATTTGTCATACTATTTATCAGAGCTCAGGGTCTTCAAACCTGCCTGAATGCAAGCTGATGAAGAGAAACAACATATGAAATAGCCTAGAAATGTATTATCAGGAGAGCTTCAGACATTTACAAAATTATGTGGAGCTACTACTCAAAATTTAGTTTAACTCATGCTCAGCGTTAAATGCTGCAATGACAAATGGAATATGATGCTTTCACTGAGTCTTCTGTATAAGACTCTACCTGTGGCCCTAGGACTGCATGCAGATTCTAATGTGCTGCTTGCAACCAGTTCAGCCAAATTCAGTTTTTCTACCTTTGTTTATGAAGAAAGGAGAGAGAAAGTTTTAGAAACTGAAATACAAAAGAGAGAAGTAAACATTGAGCTGACATTGTATTGGTTCGGCCTTGTCCATTGTTTGCTTAAGCCTCACTTAGCATTTGGCTTCCAATATATTATTTGGAAAGCTTATTATTTCAACAAAAGTTCACCATACTTGATCTATGATTTCAAGACCCTGAAATTAAATTGTTATTATTGTTATAAGAATTTTCAGTGTTGTTTTGTTTCATAAACTCCCAGTTTTTCAAGTGGGGTATGCATTCTTGGAAAATAATAGCAAGTAATACATTACATCTTCTCAAATGCTAGCTCTCTGCAATGGAGGTCAATTCTCTACTGTGGAGGTCAATTTTTAATTACAGTATTAGGTGAAGCCAAAGTCAAAATCTTTGGGTTAATGCTTCTGAGCTATCAAGCTATGAAATATGTATCGGATACAATGCACACATGTATAAAATGAGCAATGGTTAATAATTGTTAGTTATTAGATTTTTCAGAGGATATAATGGAATGTGTGGATGACCTTGGAGAATGAGGGGAAGAGGTGCTGCCTCAGAAACAATCAGACAGGAGAGGCAGGAATCCCTAATGGCTTAATGGTTAAAGAAAGAAACTTAGGAAGCACATACCCTAATGGATCAAATGGTTAAAAGTTGTACTCCCAAACTTGCCAGATTCTGTTAATGTAGCCTTACAGTAAAGTAGATTTAGCTCATCTAGTGGTGTTTTCTGTCTGGTTTACCTGGAAGAGCTGACATCAATTTCAATTGCAAGTCTCAAAGTACAAACTTCCCGCTACCACTTTTAACCATCTGAACAATTAGGATGGGTCCTTCCTAAGTTCCTTTCTCTGATCATTAAGACATTGGGGGCTTTCACCTCTTATCTGATTGTTTCCTAGGTGGCATCTCTTCCCCTCATTCCCCACGTTCCTCCACACATTTCATTACAGAGGATGAAGTTAGACTACATTTTCAAAGAAAGGAACTCATTATACCGTACTTAGGATCTTCCAAGCCAACAGATCCATTCTCTGACTGGAGAATGAAAGCCTGACAACTGCCTTGACCACATCTTCTGCAACAGCTTAAACTCAATTTATGGACTACAAATAAAAGAACCCTTTTTCCAACAGTGACCACAGCATGATTGACTTTTGTCTCAATATACGCCCTTACAAAAATCACCAAAATAATGGGACACCCACCTACAACTTCAAAAAAGCCAACTATGATCTCATAGACTCCAACCTCTCATCTCTTGATTGGCAAATTCTATTCTGTGGCTATAACACTGCCAAAGACCATTATAACATTTTCTTGTTCGAAATCAATAGAATATTAAAATATATGTACCACAAATCACCACCAAAACCAGTAAAACAAATTCCCATATCAATAAGAAAGCTCCAATCCCAAAAAAATTCCCTCTGGTGAAAAAATAAAACTGGCTATGTAGCTAATTTTAAAAGCTTCTACAAAAATATATGCCACCAAATAAAGACTGAATGCACCAATTACCACATCAAACAAGAAGAAAACACTCTGCGCACGAAATCCAACCACGCCTTCTATAATTTTGTAAACAACAAACTTAAAGACTTGAAATCCATCCCATACCTCAAAGGACCTAATGGTAAAGCAATGATGCTGCAGTTAAAGCAAACCTCTTTAACACATTATTCGGCTCAGTCTTTGTAAACAGAAATGGCTCATGCCCAACATTCCTTAGTCGTACCACGAATAACTACAACGATCTAACACAAATAGATTTCACAGAAGATAACATTGAAAAGGGACTATGCAGACTAAAACCATCTCTATCCATCGGACCTGATGAATTATGTGCATACTTCTTTAAAAAGTTTTCCACTGTTATAGCAGAACTCCTAAGCATAATCTTTGAAAAATCCTTCAGGACCAGCTCCCTACCCAATCTATGGTCACTAGCCATGGTCATCCCTATCTTCAAAAAAGGAGACCCCAGTCTAATTGAAAATTACAGATCAATCTCTTTATGCTGCATCACCTGCAAAATCATGGAATCAATCATTAACCAATCCATTACCCTCCACCTAGATACAAACAACCTACTCTCTAATAAACAATTTGGTTTCAGAAAAAAATTATCCTGTAATCTACAACTTCTACACTGCAAAAACATATGGACTACAAATCTCGATCAGGGCAAAGCAATAGCCGCAATTTTCATAGACTTCTGTAAAGCCAGAAGTCTGGCTTTGATTCAGTGGTACATGACAAACTACTTCTAAAACTAAAATCCTATGGCATTTCTGGACCCCTACATAATTGGATAGCTGCATTCCTGTCAAACAGACAAAAAGTGGTCAAAATAGGGAGCGCCCTATCAAATCCTGCACCTGTAAATAGCAGTGTCCTCCAAGGCAGTGTTCTAGGACCAACATTCTTCATACTATACATAAACAACCTTTGCAATCATATTATAAGCAACTGTGTTCTATTCACCGATGATGTAAAAATATTTAACACCACCGACAATGCTGCTACCCTTCAAAAATACCTTGACTTTATGTCAGAATGGTAAAACAATTGGCAACTCCAAATCTCAACCAACAAATGCTCTGTCTTACACATTGGCAAAAAGAATCAGAACATAAAATACAAGCTGTGTGGACACAACCTTGTAGATGACCCTCACTCTGTCAAGGACCTTGGAACACTCATATCAAATGATCTAAGTGCCAAAGCCCAACATCACCAAAAAGGCATTAAGGGTTGTAAACCTAATCTTGTGTAGCTGCTTTTCCAGTAAAATCACACCACTAACCAGAGCATACAAAACATTTGCTAGACCAATTCTCGAATACAGCTCATCTATCTGGAACCCACATTGCATATCGGACATTAATACAATCGAACGTGTCCAGAAATATTTCACAAGAAGAGTCCTCCACTCCTCTGCTCGCAACAAAATACTTTATGCCACCAGACTTAAAATTCTGGGCCTAGAAAACTTAGAATTATGCCATCTTAGGTATACCTAAGCGTAGCTCATAAAATTATCTGTTACAATGTCCTACCTGTCAATGACTACTTCAGTTTCAACCACAGCAATACATGAGCACACAATAGATACAAACTTAAAGTGAACCGCTCAAAACTCAACTGCAGAAAATATGACTTCAGCAACAGAGTAGTCAATGCCTGGAATACACTACCTGACTCTGTGGTTTCATCCCAAAACCCCCAAAATTTTAATCTAAGACTGTCTACTATTGACATCAGCCCATTCCTAAGAGGTCTGTAAGGGGCATGCATAAGAGCACCAGCGTGCTTACCCTCCCTGTCCCAGTGTTTCCTCTACTTGTATCTATTTTATGTATTCAATTCATGCTTATAATTATATAAATTACCTAATATGTTCTTGACAAATAAATAAATAAATAATAAACCTCCACCCTCCCCAAGTCTCAGACAAATCTGAATCTACAGAACCACATGAGGTCCTTAATCACTCATCTACTACCTCCAAAGATGTTTATGAAACATCTTATTATTGTTCTGGTAGACAAGAAGTTCAAAGAGTTAAAAACTCTTAATTTTTACTTAGTTTTAACTACTATTTGCACAGGAGGATTTTTGCTTTTGATATATTTACTGATGGATTCAACTTTCCCTGCATTGATCGACTATTACATGCCCTTAACTTCCCTTCCCAAGCTTCAAATAACTATAAAACAGGTAACATAGAATACAAGATTTTGTAGACGTAAAAGGAACACAAAAATATATCGACAGTCCTTATTCTCTTAATTTCTTATCAAGAATTAAGCCTAATTAAGCATAGTAGTTTAATGTTTAAATATATATGTATAGGGTGGTTCCATTAAAAAGAAAAAAGAAAGGCAGGACTAGAAGCCAGAATATCTAATTTGTTGTTTAAACTAAAGTAATTTATAAATCTTTTTTTACTTCAGATACAAGCTAGGACTACTATATTTTATTTATTTGAAGTATTTTCTCCTCATATTAATTACTATTCTTGATTTTATAAATAGACGAGATATATTTCTTTTCAAAGGAAAAGAAATTTATGTTAATTTGAGTAGCAAGTAAAAAAATCTCATGAGGATTTAATTTAATTTAAAAATACCATTTTTAATATCCTTGCCAGTTTTAAATTTTATACAGTTTTTATGTTTTAAAATATTTTATTGTACACCACCTAGGGTCCCTCTGTAAGGGAGATGGGCAGTTTTAAAATGCAATAAATAAAGTTCTGGTTATTAAGGTAAAGGTTCTCCTCACACATATGTGCTAGTCGTTCCCGACTCTAGGGGGCAGTACTCATCTCCGTTTCAAAGCCGAAGAGCCAGTGCTGTCCGAAGACGTCTCCATGCTCATGTGGCCGGCATGACTAAACGCCAAAGGTGCATGGAACACTGTTACTTTCCCACCAAAGGTGGTCCCTATTTTTTCTACTTGCAATTTTTACGTTTTGAACTGCTAGGTTGGCAGAAGTTGGGACAAGTAACGGGAGCTCACTCCATTATGCGGCACTAAGGATTTGAACTGCTGAACTGCCGATCTTTCGATTGACAAGTTCAGCGTCTTATTCATTAAGCCACCGTGTCCCCATACAAATAGGTAGTCTGCTATATTATTTTAAGACATCTGAATTTGTTGAGGGGAAGAAAGAAGATTTGGTAAGAGAATTATCATATTAAATTTGTATGCATTGGTCCATCACAACAAATAAGACACCTGATTTTTAAATAATCCCTTTAATAAGCACTTGTTTAGGGGAATATGTATTGCATAACATAATAAACAGTAACTTATTTATTCTCATATACATACAACATTTTTTATTCTGCCCTTGGCATAATATTCAACATATAAATGAAGCCACTGGGTGAGATCATCCAGGGATTCGGGGTTTGGTATCATCAATATGGTGATGATACCCAACTTTTCATCTCCACTCCGCATCATCCCAATGATGCCCTTGATGTGATGTCCCAGTGCTTGGAGGCCGTACGGGTCTGGATGGGGATGAACAGACTTAGACTCAACCCCAACAAGACAGAGTGGCTGTAGTTACCGGCACCCCGTTTTGTCCACTATGTTCCATCACTATCCCTAGGGGGGGAGGTGTTGACCCCCTCAGAGAAGGTACACCGCCTTTAAAGCACTCCATGGCATAGGACCCGGGTACCTTCGAGACCGACTTCTGCCACCAATAGCCTCCCACCGACCAGTCCGCTCCCACAGAGAGGGTCTCCTCAGGGTGCCATCGGCCAAGTTATGTCAGCTGGCGACACCCAGGGGGAGGGCCTTCTCTATGGGAGCCCCAGCCCTGTGGAATGAACTGCCCCCGGAAATACGTAAGATCTCCGACCTCTGGGTGTTTCGCTGCGCTCTGAAGACCCTGTTGTTCCGCCAGGCCGGGCTATTAACATAACGTTTTAAATTAGGGTATTTTAAATTTCTGGGATTTTAATTGGAGCCTAATTATTTAATGATTTTAAATTTTAGCTGTTGTTTTGTTTCTGTGTTTTTAAATAGGCTGTACACCGCCCTGAGTCCTTCGGGAGAAGGGCGATATAGAAATAAAATTATTATTATTATTATTATTATTATTATTATTATTATTATTATTATTACATCCACGGCTTAGCTTGGAAAATCATTTGACTGCCATAGCCAGGGGGACCTTTATCTAGGTGCACCTGGTTCGCCAAATTGCGCCCCTTTCTGGACCAAGATGCCTTACTCACAGTTGCTCATGCCCTCATCATCTCTCGTTTGGACTACTGCAATGCATTTTACATGGGACTGCCCTTGAGGAGCACTCAGAGACTTCAACTGGTGCAGAATGCGGCCGCGCGGGTTGTCATGGGGGTACTTCGGTACTCCCATGTCACACCATTCCTTCACGGTCTGCATTGGCTCCCAGTTGTCTTCTGAGTACAATTCAAGGTGCTGGTGATCACATTTAAAGCCCTATGTGGCCTAGGACCAGAGTACTTGCGAGACCACCTCCTGCCACTGGTAGCCTTCCATCGCCTGGTTCGCTCCCACAGAGTTGGCCTCCTCAGGGCACCTTCGGCTAGACAATGTCGACTGGTGACTCCTAGGGGGAGAGCCTTCTCTGTGGGAGCTCCTACCCTCTGGAATACGTTACCCCTGGAGTTCTGGATAATCCCCGACCTCCGAACCTTCCGCCGGGCTTTGAAGACCTGGCTCTACCAATGGGCGGCCCTGGGTTGACTCTGAACTGATTTTGTAGCTTTTTAAATTCTTAAATCTTAAATTTGAATTTGTATTCCCATATTTAACCTTATTTATTGGATATTCTGCTTTAATTTGTCTTTTAACTTTTGTATTTTCTGTTTCTTATTGTTGTGAGTCGCCCTGAGTCCTTTGGGAGAAGGGCGGCATACAAATCAAATCATATATATATATATATATATTTGTTATAATGGGTAGAAAAGTTCTCACCAGTATAGTTCTTTCCACACACCTTGTTCCATTTATGTTGAATGTTTTGCACTGGATGTATGAATGTCCATAACATTTAGCAGGCATGAATTCTGTGTTGAGTGGGGGTTTCTGGGGATTTAAATCTAATGCACCTTAAGAAAGTGAGGTTAGTGAAAGTTGACCATGAACTGAAGAAAGCCAAGTTTAAATCTCAGCCAGCTATAACGCTCAATTTGGTTGTTTTAGGCCATTTGCAATCCTTCAGGAAGGAGAGGTGAGGTGAGGTGAGGACAAAATTGGAAAAGCCTCATGTGGATAAAAGATAGCATGTACATTTAAATTTCTAAGCAATACATTCACCAGCAAAGAATTAAGGAATAGAATGCAAACAATTAACAGGAAACAAGCATACACTGGCATTAATTTTACCCAAAGCTCTCAGTTTAAGCCAAGCCATGGGAGTTTAATTTTGGATAAAGATGGCAGTGGCATTACATGGCCAAAATTGCTGAATTTCTACTATACACAAAACAAATATTTTGAGCAGGGCTGGATTAGTTTGTTTCACTGAGCAATTACTTTTTATTTATTGTTTTCCTAAAACCTCTGTCAATAAGACTCGGGAATCATCCAAAAATTCCACAAAGTAAGCATTCTCTATCATTCATTTTTTTGGTGATTTATCTTTAGTGCTGGGAATCAGTACTACACCTTTGTAAATGACTCCCATTTGGTTCACTTACTGCTGTTTAGAATGGAATAGCCTCATCCTGAGTAACTCAGGGGCATTTTTGATCATTCTCTCCTTCACACTCTGAATGTCTTAATGATCATCTTTAGCAATCCCATTGCCTTTAGTGTCAGAAAATGTGCTGGAAAAAAGAGTACAGCTGCTTTAAACCCAAATTACAGTTTTTCAGTATGCACGTGTATGCAGTGGTGACATATTGCCTTGCCCTTTGGTAAGCCTATTGTACCAACGTGGGATACAGTTATGTGAGATGGTAACTGATACATTTGGAATCATAGTGTAATTCAAAACTCAGATTTCACATATTGCCATGTACCTGCCATTAGCAAAACTGTACTATTTATTTATTTGCTTGCTTGTTTTATTTTATTTTATTTTATTATATAATTGCGGTTGTACAGCCTCCCATTTCACTTAGTGACTCTGGGTGGCATACAGAAAAATAAGAATGTATAATTGGATTGGATTGGATTGGATTGGATACTTAATTTGGCCAAGTGTAATTAGACACACAAGAAATTTGTCTTCAGAACAGAAGTACTCAGTGTACTTGCAAGGCAACAGAGAAAATAATAATAATAATAATAATAATAATAATAATAATAATAATAATAATAGCAATAAAAAGGGGAAGCAAAGAATATACACACACACACACACACACACACACACACACACGCACGACAGAATTGTGAAAATTAGGTATTCAGCAGAGTGATGGCATAAGGGGAAAAAACTGTCCCAGTGTCTAGATGTCTTGGCATGCAATACCCTATAGCACTGTCCCAAAGGAAGGAACTGAAACAGGCTGTGAGAAGCCTGCAAATATCTTCTCATCCCTTCTTCTGATCTGTACAATATATAGTTTCTTCCCTATAAATACAATTAAAAACAACCAATTTAAATTAAAAGAAAAACAAGAATTTCGACTAGATCTCATGTAGATACTTGGTCTTTGACAGGAATACTCTGATTCTCTCACTGCAGTTTTTCCTTCTCATTTCATTGTGTATATACATTTTTTTCCAGGACAGTCCACTGGTCCTACAGTCAGATAGGAATGTTACCATGAATGCAAGAAATCATATGGGACACATAACAGGACAGCTGACTGTAGGTAAGTCTTATTATTTAATGAAAGTTTTGTGCTCTGAATTTAATACCATACTTTTAAATTTAATCCCTCAACATAGGCATTAAAGGAAACAATGGGTTGCAACTGTGTTATTAAAGATGATGTTGATCTATCACCTACATTTTCCAGTCAACTAAACCATACTGTAAGTTAGTTTTAAACAGAAATATAAATTGATTAAATAAATACATCAAGACAGTTCTTAAAGTAGTTAGCAATAATTGCAAGGCAATTAAAAACAATTGGTAAAAGCAATCTTAAAATCTTAACACATTATCTGAAGCACGCAAATTGATAAAAAGCATCATTAAACCACACAAAAAGTCAAAGAAATGAAACTCTGAGAAGGAAAATGACGACTGCTCTCTATGTCATAAATATGACACAGTTTGTGTGTTTAGCAGATTTAGTTCCAATTTAATAAAAGGGATAATGTATTATAACAAATTACTGATCGGATAAAATGAGATTTAATTCTATCTGTACTTTAATAGCATCTCCCTGCCTCCCTCTTTTCTTTGTCTATTCAAATATTTACAAAAAAATAAACTTGCATAGCACAAAATGTAGAGCAATTAGTTTCATATTTGTTGGTTTTTGTTTTTTTAAAAAATGAAAGAGATAAGAGTTATCCTTAGGATTATTTTACTTGATTCCAGACCAGACACGAAGCAACTGAATAAATATCCATATATTATAGATAGTTTATATTTCATTGATGTAGGTTTATAGACTGTACATTTTCATTGAATTTCATGTTCATTGGATTGATATAAAAAATAATACTAACTGTATAGATTACATTACAATATCATATTTCCATTTTTTTTCATCAAGTGTGGCTAATATAGAATTAAACAACTTTCAAGATTACTAACCTTAGCTTCAGAGTGGTTCAGGAACATTTGAGATATTTTAGTGGCTGAGAATGTAGTTTATCGATCTGAGGCTTCTTTGACTACAAATCATGGAAAGCCCAATACATTGCTTTGCACACGTTAAGAAATTATGCATTTCTTATGAATCAGCTTCATATTCCTGTTTCCACTTGGAATGTTCTTAACTTCCCCTTACAGTTTACATAGATTACACTTTTTACAACAATTCAGTAGACTAATATTTGCAAAGTGTTTTCCTCCACAAAAGAAACACAGCTGTCTTTTAAATTAAACCTTTCAAACTTGAAGAAAGGGGAAAGAGGACAAGGAGCCTATAATCCTTAGATAACAGCTTCCCAAATCAGCATATGCCATACAGCATGTTCAGTTCTATAACTATGTTCAGGGTCAGTTGCTGTGATTCCTAGCAATTTCTGTCATAAATCTTCCTTCATTGGTAGGCTTGTGTTGTTCTTTACAAATTAAAATTTGTGATTATCCTAGCTCAGCTGCCACTTTTTTAAAATGATAAAACCTTCCATAGAGATATTGTGATTTATTATATTTGATTTCCTGTGCTGAACAGATTGATATGTTAGTCGATTCAACTAAAACAGACCCGCCATTTTAAAAGGTGACTTTCTAATTGGGAAGTACTGTATATTTTTTGAAATATATTAACAGTTTTGAATTCAAGTGTTCACAAAATATCAGGGGGAGTAAACTTTTTCCAGACAGATCCTGTGTCCTCTGTGTGAAATAAGAAAGGTTTTCTTTAGAACAGTTATTTTGTTTAAATTTAAATCACAGTTATTTAAATATATAAAGAGATAATATAAAGAATTTCAGCTATGGACTTCCTGATGCTTTTTGAGATTGGTTGTTTACTTGCAGATACAGTATTTCATTACCCAGCTATGTAACATCTTCAGTGCTAGAAGTGAGTGGTGTTTGTTCTCTGTTTATGTACATGGGTATCCAGCAACAGTGACAGGAAACGCTAACAAATTGGCATTTGAAACAATTAAAGCAAAATGTAGTTAAAACCATGTTTCTCTTGTACCTTGTCTATCTGTTATCTATGAAATACAGCTTGAACCTACAACATTAACTGATTTTATAAAGAATTGTCCTGTTTACAGAACAAAGTAACTAGCTTGAATTCCTGTAGTAGAGAAGAAAATATATTTAGTTTAGGGTTGAACTGTGGGGTCCTTGGTGCTCTATGAACTTGGTTGTTTGCCTGCAGATTTCATTACTTTACTAGGTAACATCTTCAGTGCTAGAAGGGAGGGATGAAAATTCACTTAAGTTTAGGGTTAGACTCCCTTAAATTCAGAGAGGAAAACAAACATCACTGAGAGGTTTGCAGAGGCTAAATAGGCATGGAGGCTTCTTACATTTATAACCCCCCCTACTATTCAATTCCTAGAAAACTACATGGAAAAATCCTAATGGGATGGAAATCTACTCAGGGTTAGTGTTAGGATTGGGATTGCAATTAAGATTAGGATTACAATTAGGGTTAGCCTTCCTTGAATTATGAAGTAAAACAAACATGGCCAAGAGATTTGTAGAGGCTCATTATTCTTAGTAGGTGTGTTATATTTTCAGTCCCCCTTATTTCCAACTGCTGGTAAACCACATGGAAAAATCCTGTTGGGATGGAAATTTGCTTAGAATTGGGGTTAAACTCCCATGAATTTTGGGAAGAAAAACATCACTGAGAGATTCAGAGAAGCTTGTTTTGCTTAGGAGGCCCCTTACTTTTATACTCCCACAAATTTTTGATTCCTGGTAAAGTACATGGAAAGATATTATTGGGATGTAAATATATTCAGGGTTAAAGTTAGTTTTAGCATTAGGCTTTCTTGAATTCTCAGAGAAAAACAAATATGGAGAAGAGGTTAATAGAAGCTCAATATGTTTCAGAGCCATTTTACATTTACAATGCTACTAATTTTCAATTCTTTGTAAAATACTTGGAAAAATCCCATTGAGTTGGAAATCTATTTGGCATTACTGTCAGGCTCCCATGAATATATAATGGAAAACAAATATCACTGAGCAATTCAGAGAGGCTTGTTATGTTTAGGAAGCCTCATACATTTACCAGGGATGGGATTCAGCCTATTCGGTCCGGTTTGGGCTAACCGGTTGCTCTGACAATCAGCTGAGAGTGAACCGGTTTGCTCCAACCATCAGCTGGGCCCGGCCACCTGTCCCTGCGCTATACCTACCTTTATTTCGTTCATTTGAAGTCCAGCTGATTGGTGCAGCAGAGCGGATTGTTGCACCTCGGCTGTTTTTAGTGCTTTTAACACTACTTGTAATGGTCTTTTCTAATGGACTGCGCGCACACTCAGTGAACCGGTTGTTACACTGGTTGAATCCTACCACTGACATTTACAATCCCCTAATTTTGAGTCCTGGTAAAATACATGGAATAATTGTATTGGGATAGAAACCTACCCATGGTTAGAGTTAGGTAACCTGGAATTTGCAGAATAAAACCAACATGGTTTATAGATTTGTTGAGACTCATTTTTATTAGCAATCACCTTATATTTTATGTTTACAATCCCCCTAATTTACAATTCTTGTTAAAATACATGAAAAAATTCTAATCCTAAAAATACAAAACATTTGCCGCATCTACACAGAATGGTAAACTAGATTCTGTTGAATCTTTTTTATTTGATGGATAGATATGAATAGATAGATAGATAGATAGATAGATAGATAGATAGATAGATAGATAGATCATAGATAAGAGAGAGAGAGAGTTCTCATAGGAAAGAACCATCTAATACAAATTGTCCTGATGTTATCGCCATGCAGCTGTAAGTCCAATTTCTATCTGTATTATTCCTTTGAGCAAGGTAGGTAAAGAAACAGCATTGTACAGATAAGATATGTGTTGATTGTTATGCATTAGTAATAAAAATTCTGAGAAGTATTTAAGAAGCCTTCAATTTGTATAATAAAAACCTGACTTTAGTTTATAAGCATTATAAAAGTCACAATACTGCAGAGATTAGTTGCAGCAATTGAACAGAATAGGCAGAGAGAGTGAATGGAAAATAACAATTCTCTTATGAGTGAGCCATTGATCTCTCTGTGGCTGAGTACATAAAAAGAAGGAAAAAGAATCATAATGTGGTTCCTGCCATTTTTTTATATTATTATTATTATTATTATTATTATTATTATTATTATTATTATTATACATAGGACCACTGAATTTAAAGATTTTCTATTGTGGTAGGCCTATTATCCCATAGCCTATTGTGGTAGGCGGTATTTCTCTTGTGGTAGGCTGTATTATCCCATAACAGGTAGTTAAAAATATCAAAATGACCCCAAAGACACATTTCTGCAGGTAATTTTTTAACAGAAGTGTGAGGGAGGAAAATCTGCCCTTTTCTATACATTTTCTGTTTACCTGTACATATTGTACATCACATGTGACAAGGTGCAGCTAAAAATATATTATGCATGCTGAGCATGTGGGCAGTGGTTTAATTACATCCAATTTGTTCTTGTTCCATCATTTTTGCATGTTGTAAGAGACCATATTAATACTTACAATGTCAATAATGAGGACTAGAGACTTCCTGTCTATTTCACAATGCTCCAGACTGAGAACTGAAAAATTCCTAAGAATTCCATCGCAGGGTTTGAAATACCATAAGCCAGAAAGCACATTGAATTCTTAAATACTTTTAAATGTGAATCATGTACAAGGAATTACGTTATTATGAGGCATGTGTTAGAATGCTCACACACATGTATGATTTTCATCTTTTCATTTTTTAAAAAGCTAATAAAGGCTGACATTAGAAAAATGAGGTTGGCAAATGAGAAATGAAGTGAAATATAACTAAACCTCAGAAAACAAATGTTACCACAATCTTTTTTTTTCAAAAATGATCTAATACATTATTTCTTTTACTGTGTATTTTCTTCTAATATTTCACTGCTATAACAAATGCTCTGTGACTGTCGCGACATTCCCAAAGCTGCTGTTGGCTGCAAAGCACATTTATATTATTTGGAGCATCCGGCCTTATAACAAATCTCTCATAGGACATTAAATTTTTA